TAGCTTCGCATTTTAAACACTTAGTTTAACTAATCTGCCTCTGCCACGACCAGATCTTTCAGTTCACTTGAAATACTCAATCTCAATCAAATCTCTACGTATCTGAACTGTACGGATAATCTGCCCGTGTATGGGGCGCTGCTCACAAATCAGACAAAAAAGGTTTTACTGGTGGCGTAAGCCTTGTGAGTGAAAATATTTTGAGGCAACCGATAATTTTTTTCCAGATTGCAATGGATACGCAATACTGGACGGTGTTCAATCACATCATGATTTGGGGTTCGCTGGCCTTTTATTTCGTGGCTGATAACTTTTACAACTACGTGTTCAATGGGCCGTACGTCGGATCGCTGACTAAAGCGATGGGAAGCGCGAATTTCTGGTTTGCAACCGTCCTCATAGTCATCATGTGCGTTCTGCCAGTGCTGGCCTACCGATTCTACTTTGTCGACGTGTTTCCGACCCTCTCTGATAGGGTCCGATTGAAGCAGCGACTGGCACAAGTAAGCACGTTTGGTCGCGTTTCTTCAAACACATTTCTAATTTCGTTTGAAATGTTTGCAGGTGCGGTCCAGACAGAGTCAAGACGTGCTTCGCACACCGTCGGCTCGCAGAGCCAGACGCTCTATACGTTCAGGGTACGCTTTCGCTCATCAAGAAGGTTTTGGTAGGTTGATCACGTCGGGTAAAATAATGCGCAAGCTGCCCAACGCCGAATTCACTATTCCCAACATTATGAACAAACTAAATATGTCGAACTCGACGAAAGAGTCGAACAGAAATCCGCCAAACACCGCAGCAACGCAAGAAGGCAGCAGTGGAAGTAGTGGAGGGAGGGCACCCATCCAAGACTTAGACACGATTAATTTGTGATAATAGTGGAAAGTTTTAAGCAAAACGTCATGACAGTATTTTTATTTTTGTAATTTTTATTAGCCCGCATCCGATTGGTTCTAAAGGAACTAACTGTGCGAGCGTACAAATGCTTTTCATATTGGTTGCTAGTGCTGCTGCTGTTCTAAGAGCATTATTGTTTTATTCAAGGGCTTTTAAGAAGGAAAGTGTGCATGCAGATTCTCAATTGACAGGCTAGATAAACATTTAGCAGCTCTAATCCACCAGCAATCAACAAAATCGTGCGTTATGATTGTTGACTGTTATAGAAAGAAATCTATTTTTTGTTAGTACCCGCGAAACATGGAGAAATAAATGGCTCTGCCAGCATTATAACGGCGCGAACTTGGACTTTGAATCGGGGTTTGTTGAGCAGTTTTGACCGGACTTTAAGGAAAATATTTTACGTCGTGTACACTACACTTAATGATAAGCTTTACTAGTCAAACAAAGTATGTTTAAATGTTAAGATATTTCTTATTATAAAGTTATATTTGAAAGTATTGCTTTTTGTTTTTTATGAATAAATTTATTTTTTCTCTACCACTTGCTCTTTTTCGTAACACACACTCCAGGCTCGTTTATATTGCTGCTGATATGGTCACAGTCATATCACATCCTATTCAAGTCTTATAGTACATATCCATAGAGGCACAGCAGGTTGGAGCAGAATCTCCACTATTATAGTAATAAAAAGTATACAAGTAATAAAGGGCAAAAGTCTTGTGGCGTAAAGAAGGAAAATTCGTGTGTAACATTTCAATAATGAATTTGCCTTGCCTTTAAGCCGCAAAAATCCAACTCATCGCCAATATTAATTAATTTCACACTAGCATAAGTTCTAAGCAAAAACTGTCCAAAAATTGATGTAAACGATCACCTGGAGGCTGTAGAATATTCAGGACACTGGCGCTCGGCAGTTGGGGCAACTTCCGCCCAAAGAACCCAACCAGTGCTCAATGCACTTGCGATGAAAACAATGCCCACAACGTAATTTTCTCAGAGCAAGTTCTGAGCTGAGCTCCGTCAGGCAGATGGTGCAACTGGACAGTTTCCTTTTGCTGCATATTACAAAATATGGAATTATTACAACACTGCACACGAAGAATGGAATCAACAATACAAAAAGACAAACAATTGACCAAACACCATAAATAGTTACAGTAGGAAAAAGAGCTGAATACAACACCTGATGGAAATTGGACAGGGAATGCAAAACTGATTTTTGTGTGAGTGTGTTCATCATTCATCAAGTTTCATCAACGCAATGGACAATGGAAAAGAAAGTGTGGGGGAATTGAGGAAGCTCAGAAGGACAGAATAACCAAGGAAAACGAAGGTAGTTGTTATGTATGACTCAGAGGTATGGAAATTCAGGACAATTTACCAGCAGTTGAAATCGATTTCTAGAGAAGAGCGGCGGGAAAAGCTAGATAGGAACACGTGAAAAATGAGGACATCAGAAAACAGATGAAAGTACCTAAAAGGAAAATGGGGAAAGTTCCTCCGGGGTTAAGAAGAAACAGGGCCGAGCAAAATATTGGAGTGGATGCCTCCAGACAGAATAAAACAGGCAGACCGCCAACCATATGGATCAAGGCATTACAAAAGCGATGTAAGCCAGAAAACGCGATTTATTATACCTATTATTAAGAAATTACTATCCATCACATACCGTCGTCGTGGATTGGAGTCTTGAGTCGCTGAAGCAGGCCTTGAAGGATAATCGGGATAACTGTCGTCATACGAATAGGAGTTTTTTGGTTGCTCGTATCTTGAATTTGAGAAATGAGCATAGAGAGCTACTCCAACAGCAACAACCAAAGTCACTCCAAACATCACAACCTGTAGCTGCACCATTGTCCTGCTCTGCAATCAAGAGTTAAACGTCAGAAGAGACAAATGTAGGACTATTAGGATGCCGACTGTTTAGATTTCAAGAACTATTTAGTGCCTCAATTTCCTCACTTCTATTGAGGAATGTGCAAAAGCCTTAGAAGGGCTCTGACACAGTCCACATGGAACGCCATCCGGGCAAAATTGGGCTCAATCAGAAATTCTAATTAAATATATGTTTGCTTACCAGCGGCAACGGGTTATTAGATACAAGGCCCAACCTAACGGACACAAAGATAGCCGAAGTACTTACTAATCAGCGCAGCACTTCGAACGTGGATCATAAAGTAAAATAAGACGTCAAATAATACTCAATGATGTGATACAATAGAAATAAGTAGTTTCGATAAACGGGGGATTTTTCAAAACAGGAAGGCCAAAAGATAAATGATAAAATAATTGTCCCTAGGAAATCACCAAGACTGAAAACTAGAAGCTAACATAGAAATGGAAATTCCATTTACCGTTCCAGCCCGTTTTGGACATTCTATGGAATTCAATCAATTCAATGTAACTCCTGAAATGTTTACCGTGTGTGACTCAAATAAATAAATAAACAGAAAGGCTGAGAACGGAGAAATTGTTATCCAATACTTACTATTTGGGGACATTCGCGCGGTCAAACTTCACAAAATTGACTTTGGGGAATTTTGTCTGTTGCATAAAATTTTTCAGCGGGGATATTCAAGGCCCATATGGCAACGTTGCAGTATAGTCTGTATCAAAACGACTAATAAATATACTTGCAGTATTTCCAATTAGTATATACTTGTGTTTCAATTCCAAATCAAATTCATTCCTGGGTTTCAGTCATTTATTGTCTCTATTTATCTATCAAAATACGTTTCGGTGTATTTTTCCACCA